CGGGAGAAATATAATTTACACCCGTGGGCGATGGCCGAGGATTACGAATTTCCTAGCGGTTCGATAGTACTGCGGGCACTTCGGGACGCTTGGCCGGAGATGGTCGCGGGTAGTCGATGGACTTTGGGTGATGGTCGGAGCGTCCGATTTTGGTGGGACAGATGGTTGCCCCTTCGAGACCGCTGATAAAATTCGCCACTTGTTCGGTCCCGGAAGATCAGCTTCAGGCCCCGGTCTGTGTGTTTGTGGTGCCGGAAGGACGATGGAATTGGTCCCAGTTTCAAGGCATGTTGCCGGCAGCGCTGCTCCTCCGCATTGCGGCAATTCCGCCGCCGCATGATCATGGTGGGGCTGATGGCCTGTATTGCTGGTGGTCGGAGGATGGAAGGTTCTCTACGCGCTCGCCATATCGTGCTTTGGTGCCGCCGGATAGGGGTAGCGTCGACAACTTGTGGAGGGTGGTTTGGAGGTGGTCTGGCCAGCAGCGTGTTCGTGCTTTTCTGTGGCTAGCTGCCAGGCAGTGGTAGTTGACCAATGAGAATCGCGTGCGGCGCCACATGGCTTTGAGTCCGACGTGTCCAGTTTGCGCAATGGCGGTTGAGACCGCGTCGCATGTATTACGCGATTGTGCTGCAGCTACAGCGACTTGGCGGCGGCTCGTTCCACGTACGAAATGGAGGGTGTTCTTTTCCGTGAACTTCCGGGAATGGCTATCGCAAAATGTGACGGGCCGCCTTCTATCGGAGGTTGATGATTGGCCTACGCTGTTTGGCCTGACTGCGTGGCAATTGTGGAAATGGCGGAACCGTTCGAAGGCATGAAGACAACCGTGAATCAGCGAATCCGTGAGGTTCTCTCGTGCTCGAGTCGAGTAAGGGATGCGCTAGCGGGAAGCCAGAAGGTTGGGGCGTGTATTCGGCGAGAAACGAGGTGGCTCGCTTGGTCCGCTTTGCCGGAGGATGCTTTAAAAATAAACACGGATGGTAGCTTTGTTCCGGCTACGGGGATGGCTAGTGCTTGAGGAGTTGTGCAAGATCATCATGGGGCCTGGGTTAGCGGTTTTACGATGAATATCGGTTTTTGCTCGATCGTGGGGCTGAACTTTGGGGCATGTTCCTGGGTTTGCAGCTGGCATGGGATATAGGAGCTCGTAAAATTGTAGCAGAAGTTGATAACCAAAGTATTATCGAGATGGTTCAACATGAGGAGCTCCCCGGGCCACATGGGAGTCTTATTCAAGGGATTAAAGAGCTGATGGGTCGTCAGTGGGACCTGAAGATCGTTCATGGCCATCATGAGACAAACTTTGTTGTGGATTTTCTGGCTTCTCTTGCGACCAAAGGTGCAGGTGGTCTGCATCGGTTTGATCGTCCTCCTTCATGAGCGGGTTACTGGTTACACCATGATCTCATTGGCCTTGCTCATCCACGCCAGATCGTGATCGAGCGTTAGCTTTTCTTCGCTTTCCTTTCCCGTACCAAAAAAAAAAGGGATTAGACCGTACCAACAGAGGTTGACTCAAGTAGTAAGCAGTTTGACGTCGCTTAAGCAAGATCTCGGGTTCGAGTCCTTGTAAAGAGAATTTGTAAATTGAGTAATTGCAAATCAAAGGAAGGAATATAGTCGTGCCCTCTCAAAAAAATTTCAAACTAAGTCAATTCCATCCCAATTACGATATAATTTGGAGATAACAATGCATACAAAAGATGCAACATGCCTATAACAGTATAACTCGAATTACAACTCGAAATAACAATCTAGCACAACATTGATGCTCCGCAACAACAAAACATTTGTATATTTATAATAGAAAAATTGGAGAACATCATAACACAACAATTCCATACCAAACATAACCCCAGATACATCGCTGCATATACTTGTAGAGTCTACCGTATAC